TGCTTATCTTGAGACAAAGCCCTCATGCCATTAAATGTGCAAGGGAAAACAGGGTATGAATTGCTTACCTTAAATAAGGACCCTAGAATGCAAGTGAAAAAGACGATACAGGTTTGCCAAAGTTTTTTTTTTTGGGGGGGGGGCACCCTGAACCTTTCAGCTACCACTCAAACAACACAGGCTTGCATCATTATTTTTCAAAGTACTGGCCAAGGTTTTCTTACTCATGAGTGCAATCAGAAACTTTACATTAACCTTAACCTTCTCTTTTTTGTGTTGCATTAAACTGCTTTATCTCATGGCCCAGGAATCTGACAGTGAAAGCGATATGGAAATTTATCTGTTGCCAGAACACAGCCTGCATGCTAGCGAAAGAGGAGGGGCAGTTGGTGAGATAGGAAAGAGTATTTTAACACTATACAGACACTGTAAGAAAAGTATTAGCCATGGTGTAGAAACTCCATATATATGTATGTGGGGGTGGGGGTGGGGTGGGGTGGGGTGGGATATTAAGATTGTTTCCGGTTCAATGGAGCTAAGAGTCAGCAGTAAGGAAGATATCTTGAATAGTTGTTACCAGATGTAAGAAAACGGATAAACTGCATAAGTCTTAATGGATGAACTAAACATGATACATAAATGTGCACATTAATGAAACATTTAAAAAACACAAGTACAATGACACTGAAAAGTATAAATGCTTCTTGTAAGACAGCATCCAAAACCTGGGTTTTTTAAAGCTCCTGTTCTTTCTTTCTTTAAAATGCCTGCTCGGTTACTTTGCAATTTTCAGGCTAAATGCAATGTTCCAGCCAGTCTCCATGGAAATGTCTTCCTCTCCTCTCTTTGCTGCGGCCCTAAGTGCCACCTGAAAATTAGTTTCAGAGAGTTTCTCAACCCATCCAATCCAATTTTGATGGTGAACAGTGGGATGCAATGGATTATTCTCTCCTACTAGATCCCGCCATTCCATCACTCGATCATGCTTTTTTGCTATCAATTAGAAAGATTAAAAAACAAATTAAATCATATAACAAACTGGCAAAATGCTACACCTCCGCTTTCTTTTATGCCTCACTACCAAGGAAATTAACGTTTTGAATCTACACCAAAAGGAATTACAAGCTAGTGTAAGGAAAGCAGAAGGTGACACTAGATAATACAAGTACAAGAGCTGATTTTATTGCTTTAGCTGCGTTTTCAAGGCTGGCCGCAATTAGTCAAAACTTGAACACAGAATTCAGTATAACACAGTAGCATATATACTAACTCCTTCCTCCCCTCTCTTTATACACACACACTCACACACCTACACACACACACACATATACATATATATATCTCAGATGTTCTGGAGTGCAGCTCAACAGATGGGAGGGATAGAGTCAAGTAAATAACAGCAGTGTGATCTCCTTAAACTTATTTTAGCTATATCTCTTAGCATGATTTCAACTATCTCCAACATATAAATGACTTTAATAGAAGGCATGTACCTTGTAAAATGGTAAATGTGACCTTTTAAAACCTAAAATTTTTCCCCTTCTTTTTTATTCCTTAGTTTCTGACATGTTGCCCTTTTAATGCTTGCAAATTCCAGACAAATTCTGTCGATTTGACAAGGGATCCAGACTTTTGCCACTTGCTTAGGCAGTTCCAAGACTTGCCTAAGGAAAGAGGGGAGGTAGCAAACATGTTTGAATTTGAATTGTTGATGGACTGATAATGTAATTTATCTACTTTTATTCCTCTCTGAGTATCTTTTTCCTCTTTCTCAGCACAGAAAAATCACTGAGTTCCATGCCTCTCTCCACACCAGGGTTCTCAACCTGTGGGTCCCCAGGTGTTTTAACTTAAAACACCCAGAAATCCCAGCCAGTTTACCAGCTGCTAGGATTTCTGAGAGTTGAAGGCCAAAACATCTGGGAACCCACAGGTGGAGAACAACTGCTCTACACTGAAAAGTTCTGTCCTCTGTTCCTTTTGCATTCTATTGGACAGCATGAAGTAAAAGCAGAGAATTTGGGAGGGGGGGGTCAGTCCACTTGTTTTTCAAATGGGAAAAGATTACAGGGAAAATTGGAAATACCATCAACAACAACAACAACAACAACAACGGGATTCCCTCCTTCACTTGGTTTACCTTCCCCACTTCTATGTTCGGGTCAATCTGAATTCACTTGGCAAAATCTAACTAGTTTCTTTGTGCTGTTCAAAAAAAGGACAAGAACACAGACCCACCCAAAAAAAAAAAAAAGATTGCTACTCTTCTCTCCAGCAGGACATTTTATCCCTTAAATGTGTTCTGAATGATTGGGGGAAGCCTTCTGTTACAGAAAAAAAACTATTTTAATCTACTACTGCCATGAATTCATACACATATTTGAGTTAATGTTTATCTGAAGAATACAACCTAACTGTTTGATAATATTTATGGAGTGTTTGCACTTGCATCTGGGCAGTGCTCCAGTCTTTCATAGTTTTAGTAAACTAAACAGTTCAATACATTAGCACAATCAGCTCTGAAGAATGGCTAGGAAAGAGGGAGGAGATGAACAGAGCCATTTTGTTAAATTGCAGTTGTGAGCAATCAGGCAAGAGAGGGATGAGTTTGTGACCTAATGGGAAAAAGAACATCTACAGAATCAACCACGAAAACGGTGCTCCTTTCCTTTTCAGAAGAGATAGAACAATCAACATATCCTGTTTTCACTCTGCTAGCAAAACTACAGAAAGTTACATACATTAGCAAAGCTATAATGAGAAATCATTACCATATTTGCTAAATCTTTCAATACTGCCTGTAACAAATTCACTGTTAAAGTCTATTTGCTTAAGAGTACAAGAAAATTATTGATTGAGCTTTGTAATTGTCACTTAAGCATTAATAGACCATCCAGATTCAATTACATTAGCATCTGTGTTTACCAAATAAAATGCCATTAACTTTATTTTTGCATCTCTGAATTATTTATTTATTTATTTATTTATTTTATGTGTTCACATACTATTTTTCAACAAAGTTAATAAGGCAGCTTACAATACCTAAATATCACATAATTAAAATACATATATCAAATAAAAGAGAAGGTAACAACAAAATACATGACAGTTGAATAAAATTATCTCATGGAGATATGTATTCAATACCAAGGTGAAAAAAATGATGTCCTTAGAGAGGCTTGCTAGTTTTGTACCATGATGTCATTTTGGCATGTCAGGGTAAAGCCTTGATTGGTAATGGATTTCAATAATTTTAATATATGTGTATAAAGATTTTACCAGTGCTATAAATGTGTCATGTCTTCAATCATGGGATTTTACTTTTGTCTAGGACCCGTATGTTCCAACCAAAACAAAACCGTACTAGATATCGGTTTTTTATTCTCCTTAATGCTATGTTTTATTGTTCTTAATGGTATTCTTAAAAGCTCTTCACCAGGTTCTTGAAACCCCCGGTGAGTCATGACTCACTATTTGAGAAGCAGTCAAACAGCTCTCCCTGGATAATTGCTACGTTTTGGAAGGGTGGTGTGGACATAAAGGAAAGAACACAGTTCTTTTATTTTCTCCTCTGGAACTTCCTAGTTACACACGTCTCAATAAAACGATAGGAGAAACCAACTTCTGTTTGGAAGGGGTTACATGTAATTCATCACTTCCACGATAAAGAAACTCTTCTTTAAAATCTTTGCAGGACATGAACCATAGCAGCTGGAGAGACTGCACAGTTGGAACAAGAGATCTGACCCAGGTGAATTGGTGAGTTTTATAAAATGAACTGAATGACTAGCAGCATTTGATATTCATCCAGTTTTCTCTTTAGATTCAAAAAAATTATTTCAATATAATAAATGCATTAAGCTCCTCCTAAAGTTGTTGGTGACCGAAACCATCGCTACTCCACTCCCTAAAATCTCACGGAGTTGAGTAGCACTAATATAAGTCACCATCTATCCTTCATCAAAGTCTATGAACCAGCAGACATAAGTAAGAGGAAGGAAGACTGAAATCGCCACTACATTGCTCCCTGCAGCTTCAAGAAAAGGAGAACTGATGATTTCAGTCACCAACCACCCTTCACCAAGGTATGCTGGTTTGTAGACGTTGGGAGTGGGGATGGTTGAGAAGCCTTTTACTGCTTTTCCCTCTCCACAAAACCACTGGTTTTTTTTAAAGCCACGGACATACAGTTAGTACTATGTAAAAATGAATGGGGATAAACAGACACAGAAAAGGTACACCTCCCCAAAAGAATATCAGGTTATATATGTCTCCAGTTTACAATAATCAAAAATACAAACAACATCTGCAACTAGAATTCATAGACATAGTCATGTGAAGGTGGAATATCAGAATGCAAAGAATTTTTGTAGCCCAGGGGTCCCCAAACTAAGGACCATGTGCCAGATGCAGCCCTCCAATGTCATTTACCCGAGCACAACCCTAACTCTGAAACAACTTGAGGCCACATGACAACAACAAGAATCCTAATTAACTTGACTATCTTATCAGACAAAAGCAGGCCCACACTTCCCACTGAAATACTGGCAATTTATGTTAGTTAAAATTGTTCTTCATTTTAAATATTGTGTTGCTTTCATTTTTTTTTTTGCACTACAAATAAGATATGTGTGGTGTGCATAGGAATTAGTTTTCAGTTTTTCCAAACTATAGTCCAGCCCCCCAGCAGTCTGAGGAACCATGAACCAGGCCTCTAATTAAAAAGTCTGAGGACCTCTATTGTAGCCCCTTAAAGACTGTGAAATCTAATTTCAATGCCACCATGTATCTGAGTGTAACCCCATGCCACCATGCATCTGAGTGTACAGACTTAGTCTACACAAAATTATGCTACCAACTTTGTTCTCTCAGTTACTCTCTAAGGTGCTACTACATCCCTTTTCACATAAATAACCCTTGCAAAGGCTCACTTTTATTTCAAATCAACAAACTTTAAAAATTATTCATTTTTGTACTAATTATTTCCACCACAAACCTACTTGTTACTTGGATGTTTTCTCCACTGTTGTCTTTTTCCTCTTAAAGCAGTTAACCTGCAAATAAAAATAAAACAAAGCATGTCATCTCAAGACAGAACATGCATGGATTATAAGCTTTACTACCACTTTACATGAGCAAATATAATACAAAAATGTAAAGGAATAAAACAAGAGCAAACTAACACTACCAGGTGTTTAGAAAAGTGAACTTTTCAACTCTTCTGGCTGCTCAGAATTGGCTGAAATACAGCTACAAGGTCAAATACTTTAAATCAAGATGAGTTTAACATATTTAATAGTTTAATAGACCCCATTCAACATCTATACAATGAACATTATTGACAAATCTTCAAATATGAATAAAATTTTTGTTGCAAAAAAGAATGAATGAACCATATGCTACTGAAGGGACCACCACAAAAATCAGATTTCTTTTTCGTCAAGATTTATCTAAAAATTGTTTCACGCCACAATTTTTCTGTAAACGGTAGTATAGATAATCCTGAGGACGGCCTGATTTTCCACAGTTCTATCTATGTAGAAGGCAGAATCAGTATGTCATCTGAATTGATTCTGCAAAAAGTCTATTATAAAGTGAAACCCCTCCCATTGATCTTCTAACATGTTCAGATAACCCCAGAAGCGTTTTTTTCTTGCTCATTCACTGAACTAAAGCTTATCATCTAGTAACCTTTGGTTCAGAGAAGGGAGATGTGGAGAGTGCTGAACTGGGATCCATATTGATGGTCTGAAAATTTCTGATTTTTTTTTCATGAAGAAAAGAAGGGTATATTATAGAAGAAGCAGGGTATGCTATAGACTTTTATTCATTACAGAACACTAGGTATTTTCACTCATTTTAGGGAATACTACATGGATGTTACATGTTTCAGGTTTTTTACATTATGTGTGCCAACCTGCAGTACATTAAGAAGGCTGAACAGAATAACATTTTGATTTTCTTGCCTGCTTTTATGAGGTTAAAGTTAGATGGCTATTACAAAAATATCCTATGATTTTCCTTTATTCCTAAAATACCAGTACCATCTCACTAAAAATGCATTAACCAAAGCAGCAACATGTGGACCTTAAGACTCAAGTTTCATCCATTGTTTTCTTCTAGAGACATATCATTTTTGCTAATTCTTTTCACAAAACTTCATGTAAAATGCTGCAGTTCATTAGAATTTTTATTGCCACTTCTTTAAGTATTCCAGTATGTGGGTACTTCCATATGCATCTGTTGTTTTGGGAAGATATACAGTCATTTTCTCTGGTGATGTAAGTACATAACCATCAATAATTGCGGGTTTTTTCCCCAGCACCACTCAAATTGGCAACATTTCATAGTAACAGCCAGCATGTATGTAAATGTTAGAGGAACAGAGTATGTGTACATATGTAACAAACAGAGGGGTCTAAGATGCAAGATCAGAAGTGGTTCTATCCATGGCTGACACACATGGCTAGCATGGGCTCTTAACCCTCAGACTGAAAAGGTTCTTTAACATAGTACACAGAGATGTTTGGTCTACTACATTGGCTACCTCCTAGGTGTTAACTAGTAAACCTTAACAAATTTTAGACACTTTGAGAAATGGGGATCTGTATGTAAACAAAGCTAACAATAACCCGTGGGGTCTTGCTGATCTTTTTGCCAAGCCAATCCCTGGACAAATGAGTATTCTCAGATCTATAAACACTGAAAACTTAACATTTTAAGGTTTAACGAACATAGAAAATGTCTGTTAACCATTTTTGAGATTATTTTATTATTTAAATTAGACAACAGTAGAAAATATATGAAAAATACAATACATAATACATAAATCTAAAATAAAAATAATACATATATTGTCTATTTAGAATCATATCAAAACTCAACATAATCAGAACAATATAAACAAAATTGATTATCATTAAGCTCTCCAGTGTAACTCCATGCTAAACTCTCAGCAGAAGTATTCCATATAGTCGTGCTAAAGGACCTAGGAAATATCTAATGAAGATATACTTTGTCAGTTACAGGTAGATGAAACTATAGGTACAGGTCCGACAGAAGATCATCTATGAACGTATCCTAAAGAAAATGGAAGGGATATTCAGAAAAGCAATTAAGAGGCTAGTGGAAACTCTGAAGGGAACCAGCATGCTGTAGTGGTTTTAGAATTGAGACTACAACTCTTGAAACCAAAGTTCAAATCCCTGCTCAGCCATGGAGACCCACCACATGGCCTTGGTCAACTCATAGTGTTAGAGGAAGATCCCTTCATGAACAAATCTTGCTAAGAAAAAAGCCTGTGATAGGTTTGCTTTAGGGTTGGCATAAATCAGAAATAACTTGGAGGAACACCAAAAACTCCGAAGAAGCTGGAGAGATCTGCATGGGAGATACAATGCACTATCCATGAGGCTATCATCTGGATGGTCCATAAAGGCCCATAAAGGACAATTGAGATGAGTGGAAGAATGGCAAAGAAGAAAGTCATTGCTGAATGAAACACAAAACAAAGCCTGTTTTGAAGCTGCCAAAAGGCATATACAAGACAGAGTGAACACAGGGATAAAAGATTCTGTAGACCGTTGAAATCAAAACTACCTGTAACTCTTTTAGCTCTGCCACAAAATGTGACTTGCCCTGAGGACACTACCACCACAATGATACGTTTCTTCAGAAGGAACTAGGAAACTGATTCAGGGCAAGCTGAATGGAGCTAAATAATCATTCCAGGAGAAAAGCTACGTCAATCTACAAGAATACTGGGGACTGGGATAGAGGTCCACCTACTAGTGGAACAGTATCCCAAAATATATGGTACAGTATCTCCAAAAACTAAGCATTTGGAAGTGAGCTGAAGAAATGTGCTCTGGAGTGAACAACTAAAATCAAAGTAGACATTTCTAGTACAATTCCTCAACTTGGGTTAGAAAAGGGGAAAAAAATCAACAGATGTTAACAGAAAGTATGAGATTGCACAATAATGGATTTAGAACTAAATTTCTCTGTTTCTACTTTACTTGTCTTTTCTACGCTTCTCGCCCCAAGGCATCAAAGGACTCGGAAATTGAAAAAAAATACCCTTAGGGAAATAATTGGAAATTTTTATAACATGGTATTTCCTTATACCACAGACCAAAGGAATGCAAACAGCTTTACCAAATAGATTTTCCTCACTGGAAACAACTGACAATTAACCCAACAATTGTTCCATCCTATTTTCTGCCAAAGTCCTCCGCATGCAGAATGCAAGAAGAGGAAACAGAATACATCATAGAAAACAATTCAATATGCTTGAGTGTCTTGTACAGGATAGATAGTGCAAGACTATACACAAAAAATCCTTATATTAGGGTGYATTTTAACTACAGGGAAATCTTTTACTAAGCAACACGGTACCATGGTTCCTCTATCAGAAACCATGTTGATGATGACCCAACTATTGGAGTGGAAGATACTAGGGAGTGCTAGCAAGAGAAGGATAATCCATTGGGGGGGGGGGGGAGCATGTATCCCATTTGTGCTCCTCTCCACTTCTCATATCATAAATGAGGGTTGTTTCTATGACAGGGACATGGGTGGGGGGAATAACAGGAAAATAGGGAGAAATGGTTTTACTTCTTCAACCCACCCTCCACTCCCATAAAATGGACTATCCTTTTCTCTCTAGTACCTCCTAGTGGCCTCTGCCTGGATAATAGAACAGTACTAATTGGAATGTCAGCTGGGCAAAAAGAGCAATGTCCCATAATCAACAGAGAAACAAGAACTGTTCTATATAGGCTAATGTTAAGAGCAGCACCAAAGGAAAATCAAACAAGACACGTGTCTGTTACAAGGTGCTAACACTGGAGATGTATTTGTAGTTTTCACTATGCACATTTTTGAAGTTCCAGCACAAGTGGTCTTAACTATGTAGTCATCATTCACTTATTTTCCCGGATCTTAATGCAAACCAATATAAACTATATTAAAAGTTAGACTTCTGCAAAGGAAGGTCAACACAAAAAGTCACTTACTGTTTTCTGTTCTGGCCAACAATCCTGTGTGCAGTCACAGATTTAAGCCCTAATGAGTTCAACAAGACTTGCTCTCATTATTTTCTCTGAATCTGCACATCTATTTCCAACTATGTTGAACACAGACCCTGTACGTCGCTCATGAGCAGGCAAGGTTCCATTTGTTCATAGTCCAATTAAGGGCTAAGATTTTGGCAGTTGGACACAGAAATGCTTGAGATTATAGAGGATTTTATTAGAGATTTTAAAGATCGGTCTACACTAATTCTTTAGCTGCCTTAAACTCTTGGAAGCTATTACACATTTTGATAACAAACACTACAGAATTGTATCATCTAAAACTAAACAGAATTAACTGGCAGCTGTTAGGCAAGCGGAGTGAGCTGTTTAGTCAAAGAACGGTGGGAAAATCTGATTTAAACCACTCTTAAAACATACAAAATTGTTTAATTTCAAAATACGCATTTGTCAAATATATCTTCCAGGAACCAAACACAAACTCATTTTTTATTTAAGATGAAGACTATCACTAATTGGTTGGCTAGGAGCATCTGGGAATGTAGCTTAACACATCTGAATAGTACCAGACTGGGAAAAGCTGAGCTGGTCCTGTGACAACTCACATTATTAAACCCTTGTCCAATTTATTCAAGGCTAAGAAGTTCAGGGCCAGCACTATAGGGTTTATCTTTCTCTGGATAAGAAACAGCATTGAACAATAACTCTGTAATAATACCTGTTTGTTCAAGATTCAAGCAAAGTAGACAGATGTCTAAAGCAAATTATAAAACCTCTGATCCTATGTCAGATTAACAAATTAATTTGATTAAGATATCTATATGCTGCTCTTCAAAATAAAATTCCCAGAGTGATTTTGATAAAAAACTAATATAAAACTAAAAACATATAAAAATGGTAATCATTAAAACAGAAATAGAGCAGCAGATCTCAAACTAGCAAAGTGAATAAGTAAAAATACCTGGTTGACTTATGGTGATGCCAACAAATCTCATAGGATTGTCTTAAGCAAGGAATCC